GTTTTCCCCAAAACCCCAAAACCCCAAAACCCCAAAACCCCAAAACCCCTCACCGAATAATTAGAATTGAAATTACTGGAGAGTTATTAAATTTCTTAAATTCTTTGACTTGTGTATAGATTTCTTTGTGTGCTCATCGATATCATTTCCATGGTAGATAAACAGCTTGTTAAGCATCGGGAAAGCTTCACTATCAACAAAATACTCTCCACCGTCAGTTCCAATGTTATTGTATCTGAGATCCAAATGCTGTAGGTAGAAGAAGTTCTGAGATTGAGAGAGGTACTTCGCTCCCTCTTCTCCCAGTTCATTCTCTGATATCACTAACTTCTCAATTTTAGAGAAAACTTCTGATTGGGTAATGGCAAGAACACCTTCATGACTGATTCCATTATGACTAATGTCCAAGTCTAGGATATTCTTGATGAAGTTTGAAGAAGCTATTTGCATCAAACCTGAATCCTTGATATTATTCCTCGGAATCAAAAGCGTGGTTAAGTTTTGTAAATGGGCATTCTTAGCAATGATTTCTGCTCCAAAATTTGTAATACCATTGTCTCCTAAATCAAGAAGTCCGATGTTATTTTAACAGAGAATGAGATTTCATCAGGTTTGTTCATCCCTCATCTCCTAATTTAGATTGCTTAAGGATAAGTTCTTTCAACTCTCTCATGTTTCCAGCTGAGCTAAGCTCTTTCGCACCTTCCTCTTTAATCTTATTATTGCTAAGAACAAGCTTTTTAAGGTTACAGTAATTTTTGGAAATGGCAAATTCTGAAATTCCTTTCTTGTTAACCTTTGTGTTTGCAAGCTCTAATCATTCCAGGTTAGGAAATGACGTAGCGATAGCTAGTGTTTTCAGACCTTTATTCTCAATTTTATTGAAGGAGAGATTCAAACTTCTCAAATTTTCGAATATTTCTGTAGACACTAGGTATTCCACACCTTCGTCAGTAAGTTGGTTGCTAGAAAGATCAAGTTCTCTTAGGTTTCTCAGAACTTTAGCACTGACTATTGGCACTAGATCCATATCTGCAATTCCATTCATAGAGAGACTGAGTTTAGAGACATTCTCTAAGAAATTAGTGCTTGTGAGAGATTCCAAATCCCTAGATTTGATCATACTTCTGATAGCTTTAACCTCTTCAATATGGATTTTTAGTGGAAAACAAGTGATTTTGTCAATGATAAAATTCTTCTTTGTCTGATCAAACACCTCGTTTAAATCAATCTTGACTGTCTTAAGGTTTGCATAATGGTTCAAAATATCCTCAAAGAAAGAGTCTTTGTAAGTCTTAAAGAATTTACTAGATTCGTGATTGATTTCAAGTGTCATGGCTCTCTTAAAAAATTGAGCTGTTTTTAAGCTAATCTTACTCAACTCTACATTTCTTGCAGAGTATGCCCTTTGACACCAAGTCTTAGATTCTTTATTGACAATTCTTAATGCTAATATCTCTTCGTTACGAAGGAAACTGAGGACGATATTGGTAACCCAGAAGCTGAGGTTCTTGAATAACCTCACATCTTTCTTGATATTGCTAACGGATGGTTGTCATGGCTCCCTAATATCTCCAATGCTATGAGAGAATATTCATTTTCCTCCAAAAATACATTTGTGACCCTGTTTAAAGTTAGAGCAGCACAGCTCTGAGTTGGGGGTTTCTGGAAGTGTCACTTCTTCAGCCTTATATGAGTTAAAATCATCTTGACCGTAGACTCCTCAGTTCCTGAGGTATGTCTTGTAAGTCATCTCTGGCATTTTGTAATAAGCCTCCATTTTTATAGTTTGGTATTGTTTTAAAGTGTCAATTAATTTTATAGTATTTGGGGTTTTGGGGTTTTGGGGTTTTGGGGTTTTGGGG